GAATAGAGTTGGTGACATGCCACATCCTTGATGCACTCCTTGATTTATCTGTATTTCAGAAGTCAATAGTTTACCAGCACCAGTTCTAATACTGGATTGATTGATTGATTAGTGATTCCGGGCTCGTCAACTGCTAAAGACATTAGTCCCTTAAGTCTTGTGCATGTTTTATCGCAGGAGGCTGCGCAGAATTTCCCCAATTAATGGCTAAAACCGGCGCCGACCTACACGTCGACTGGCAGGGTTCTCCTCAACCAGGTCTCTCCCACCAGCGGGGCACCATTCCAGTCGGGATAAGCTCTGAGTCCCGAATGATCTCTTGGAAAGTGTGGTAGTGTGTAGTGCATGTGTGTGCGTAAGGGATGGGGATAGGATCGCACGCGGTTCGTGGTCCGTTTGCCAGAGAACTACTCCGACATTCTCCGTGTTGACCGGAGACACCAGGGATAACGGCCGACCAGAGCAGCCGGGCGCAGAATTCGCCAGACAGCCGCTCAACTCGCCCCCGTTATGAATGCCGAAAATCCTGCCACCGTCGACCCCTAGGACCTCTCGGTGACATCAATTCATGCCCGGAATCTCCTAAGCTGTTTTTTTTCATTCTCTAGTTATCTTACAGACTTTTTAATACCTGGATACCTAACGATTTTAGGAAATCCTCTTTTCATTTTCTTGCCCTTACTTCGAAAGCAGAGAAACTACTGTATTCTGGAGCCGGAAAACGAATTTTCGACAGCAAAACTGTTATTATCGGACCCTGGTAACGAAAAAGTTGATAAATATTGCATATGAAGATAGGGTGGATGCAGTAATTTAGATATATTTAGTAAAAAAAAGTAAAAATTGTATGTGACGTATGGGGTAGAAGATTATCTGCGCACGTTTTCTTTCTAGAATCCCTTACCGTCATTTCTGATAGTGGCGGTCGGTACAGAATTATATTGGTGGTGCCAGTTAGTGATGCGACATTAATGTTACGAATTACTAATGTTCAAAATTAAAATATCGATCAAAACCCAATGATCATTTTAAACATCGATGCGCTGTTTTAAATTTCGTTCAGTAATCACTAAAATAAAATTCGTGGGCAACAAAATTCAAATCGACAGTAACAGTAGTAATTAATTTATAATGACGATTAAACTGAAAACAAATGAAAATACTCAGCCAGAAAGCTTGAGCATACGCAGAAATCTGAAGAGGTCAGAGCTTGCTTAGTACGCCGAGGAAGGGTACGGGAAGAAGAGAGGAGGCCTTACGCCAACGGCGTACGCTGCCTCTCCGTGTGCCACGACATGGCATTCCGCGCTGGTCGATTGAAGAGTGTATTGATTGAGCATCGAAGGACTAATCGCTTGTTCAAATGAATTACTACGAAGAAAAATATTTTTGAAGAAGTGAAATTTTATACACACATTTGTGGTGAAAGTTTTCTTTTCCTTCCTTTTTGTGGGTGGTATCATGGCTCACTGTCTCTACCCTACAAGGTTGATATACAGTAAATTAGTGAGAGTGGAGGTATAGTAAATTACTTTTAACACGTTTGTGTAGTCAGAATCCTTGTTTTGTTGATTCTTGATACCAGAAAATCGAATGATGGCAAATGTCTGTGTATGATCTGTTTGCACCTAAACCGTTCAGCCGCTTTTCTCCAAGACTGATTTTCCTCGATCGATTTAAATGAATTCGAGGCTCTCTGATTTGAATTTTTTGGAGTTCTTTATGTGGAGACTCGGCATTATCCAAGTTTTCTCAAAACTTTCTCCAATTTGTTTAAATTAAACTTTGTCCTCGGATAGCGTAAACGATGCTGACGGGGATGGCGCTGTTTTCAAGTAAATCCCTTATTTGTCGAAAATTTCAAAAGTTGAGTTTTTTTCGGCGTCTTCCTAAAACTGCCATATAGAAGATAGAGATTTTCCCCCCGAATAAAATATGATCTTTAAATAAGGTCATGAACAAATTTTCGAAAATGTGAGTAGTTTTCGCGTAATTATGTATGAAATATAGGGGATTTTAAAAATTTTTAAACAATTATTTTCGCACAAATGGTTCCTAACTTTTTAAAACTTTCTCTCCATGTGTATCAACCGGTGATAAATATTTTGGCACTAATCTTATTTCCCGCAAACTCTCGGTATCTTCGAAATGTGCAAAAAATTAATACTTCAAAAGTACAGTTTTGCCCTAAACAAAATTTGTTCTAAAAACAGCTCTTTAAAAATGACCATGTAAAAAAAACAGTTGTTTTTCTTATTTTCTCTTTAAAATTAATGCTATTTCTAAAAAAACACATTGTCTCGAAAGCCGCTTCAATTGTTTTTCTTATTTTTTTAACGGATAAAACAAGGGACATTAAAAGGAATGGCGCAAGTCTCAATTCTGTTGAAATCTCATTTTCGAAAATTCCAAGTTTAAAAATAATACGAGAAAGTATGTGATGTAACACCACTATCTTTTTTCATATCACTGTTGCAACAGTCCTCTTTCTAAGTAGTGTTCAGAGGTGCGAAAAATATGAAGGTAGTGTTCTTCACATTATCATCAACCTACTTAGATAATTTCCTGGGTAAAATAATTAGCTGACACATTTGAAGGCTAGCTTTTATTAATAATATTTTAATTGTTCCCCCTACCCCGTCCCTTGCTATAAGTCATTGCGAAGCGAAGAAATGCCATTCAGCACTCACACTGAGGAAATCATAGTGGAAGCATAAACACATTTTTGTATAATAGTACGCGCTGAACCCATCCGAGAAATTGCCATAATCCTTTTTGTGAAGTGCGTATTATAAGAATTTACGTTGAAAAACGTGAACTGAATTCGTGCCGTGTTTCAAGCATCCAGAAAAAGAAATTGTTGTTCGATGTTTGAATTCTTTGTTTTCTCTGAAGTGCATCGCAAAACATACAGTATTGCTTCAACAATAATTCATAGCAGTCTCTGAATTAAGCGGTCAATGACGAAAGAATAAATGTCTAATAAAAAAAATAAATAAATAAACACACACACACAACAACAACAACACTGGACGATGAAAACTCCTGAGGCCAATTGTATGTTTGTCTCATGAAGACATCAAAAGATGCGATTGCGATTCATTACATAAGCCTAGCACTAGCTCTGTTTGGACGTCGTGTCATTGACGTCACGTGGTGGGAGTAGCCCGGCGGGCGACCTGCGTACTCCAGTCAACAAACTATTTTTTACTAGTTATTACTTTGTGTTTGTAAAGTGTGTGTGTGTAGTTTCAAGTCTCTAATAATAGTGTTTTGTGAGTGTGGAATTTGACATAGTATGCCAGTGGCAGTCCTGGGTCCACCTCGGTGCTTGCCCCATTGTTTTGGGTATAAGAGGCCAGTTCCTCAATTAAGCATACCAACTTCACACACAGTGTTCAGGGCAGGGGTTATAGAAGGATTAAGGTATTGATGTGATATACCAGGGACTAGGAATGATCCCGTGCCACAAAAGAAACAATGATGCTTTACGGGTTTCGAACCCAGTTTTAGCGTTCTTAGTTTTGGACGAATTGGCTACACGCCTGTGACTTACGAGGCCATCACACTTGACCCTACTATATCTAATGTATAGAAATTCATGCTTGTTTGTATGTATTTTATGCGCTGCCATACCATTCATCCGATTGCGATAAAACTTAGCCAACTTATTGCTTGCACTTGCGGGAAGGTTATAGGCATAGTACAATGACAATGTGCGTATGTCTGTGGCACATAGACGCAAAATGGAGATGATAATGATTTATGCGTTTGTCTCAAGCGACCCTTACCAGAAGCTCTACGCAACCCGCTGCACCCTTGCGCGTTTTCGCTGCATATTCTGCCCCTGCGATTGTGAAATATCGGCCAGAATATTTACTTGAACGTTATTTCGAACAGGTAAATCAAATTTCTCGGAGACAGTGTCATAGCGAATGCATGCTCAAATTTGAAGGAAAATTTAACAATAGAATACTTGACAACCCTATCCGAACTAGGACATAGAACAAACCCATCCACCCTCGCGAGAGAATCATTCATCCATTAAAATGTTTGCAGAGCGTACTAGCATAAAACGTGATTAACAATCATGTGACTGATAGAATGTGAAGTGTAATACATTATAATAGTAAAGTACAGCAGGTATGCTGTAAAATATTAATTTAATAATAATAATAATAATAATAATAATAATAATAATAATAATAATAATAATAATAATACAATTTTGATACATATCCTCTTTGTTACACGAATGGCCAATAGTCTTCACATAATTGAATCTGCGAATCTAAATTGTTTTGACACCATTCATTTCCACAGCAAGAATGTAAATAAAATTACTTTAATTTCACTCCAATTTTAATAAAGTACTTGAAGAAAAAAACAAAAACAAAAAAAGAATATTGGGCAGTTTCAAAATTCAAAGGTTTTTTATAAGCACATGTTCCATTCTAGGAAAAATCGTTCGTATACAATGTAACACCAATAAAATTAGCACCATTAAAAAGATTTCTTCCAAATTGATTACTTTTGAGCAATCATGAATAGCGTGGTAAGAATAAAAGTTTTTTAAAAAATTACAAAATGATTTTGACCATACAAAGTTTACCGTGGTAGCTTACTCATTATTAAAATAAAAATATGAAACATGTGAACTGAGATGAGAGATTCTACAAAACAATACAAACTGAAATCATAAAATCTCGATACATTAAGCGTAAAATGATCATCTTTTGAAACACCATTGTCAGCAATATTCTCATTAAGTAAATGTAATTCTCATACATTCAGTGTAGCATAATTAATTTCATTAATAAGTCCTGATATTAAAAGATACGTAGAGTTTGTAAACATTAAAATTATGTGAACACAAATTTATACAACTCTATCACTTACAGCTTATGAAGTTCTTTGCAAAGTATAAACAATGTTCTGGATATGTTATGAATGAAGGCACATTATAATAGAAATGAAACCACATTCTGTACTTTCTCAGCTCTATATTAAAAGAATAGTTCAACAAAAACAATGTATATAATTTGAAAATACTATTTTAATGCAAAACAAAAGAAGTTAAACCCAAATAATTTTTTTAATGATGTAAACAACACAAACTGATGTATTTTAATAATTACCTATAAAAAACCAAATGAACAGACACATACTAACATTCAAAAATCAATTTAACACAATAAAAAATATTTACACTTCATATTTTCACCATCAGATTAGTTTGCATTGTTGTCTAGTTTAACTTTCAGGGTAGTTCTTTTCTACTCATTGCTAAAATTGAAAACACCATGATGTTGAGATTTAACATGTAACTCATCAGTTTTCATTTCCAATTTGAAGGCAGAAGATTTATATTGAAAATATTCCTTTCTTGGAATGTGAATATGTCCATCCACTACATCATACTTTTCTTCCCAGTTAGATAATTGCTCTACGGTGAAATTAATTTCTTCTTCTAATGCTCCATACATCTTTTGCAAATCAGGTGATCTTTCCTTCACAAAGGGAATGATGTATGCTCCATGAGGTAAAACAGAATATAAGCAATGAACAACTGACAGAGCTTGTGAGGAGTCTCTAAAACACAATAAAATAATAATAATAATTACAACAATAATAATAGTAGTAATAATAATAATAATGCTATACCAATAAATAAGGAAGCAACACATACTAAATCCCTTTTAATTATACCGACTTATATGTATGTATGCCTGTACCTAAGGGTTCATCTGTAAAGACACACAATGAAACGAGCCCATGAAACAGGGAAATAAAAATCAGGATACATGCAAGTGTTACATGATTGCTTGTCCATTGTTCTACAAAATTTTGCCAGAGATAATTATGTAGCTCTGAAATCTCAGAATTTTAATGTGAAATAAAAGTTCAATTATTTAAACAATTTTGTGAGGAAATATATGGCATACAGTGTCATGTGAAAATAAAAAAACACAACAGGAAACATCCTCCAAATTAATGACCATGTACTACTCAATTACAATAAACACTTCTTTCACTACCTGATAACATCACTAATTGAGAATTCATTTAAATCAACCCTTGGAATAAAGAATTTAAATGGATACAATGAAATCCTAATACTGAAGTGCATTGAGAGCTAATCTTAACAATACCAAAAGAATTGTGCAAATAAAATGCAATGAAGATATGTAGCTTTCCAAAATAATGAATTACTAACAATCCAAAAACTCCGTCTGAAAATTCTACAATGACATAGTCGACAACAATCCAATGGCTTTCCCAAAGAAAAGTACTCTTTACTCTAGAGAGGGAACACGAAAAGCAGAAAGCAATGAGAAACAATAAGCTCATATAATGAATCTACCAAGACTAAACAAATAAAATTTGATCTTAATTAGGAAGATGGAATAATTCAGTAGTCTATTTCACTGGATATTCTAAAAGAAATACTAACTGAAAATACTTAGAACTAATATTAATTTCAGTCACAGCTTATTCCAACAAACAAAAAACCCTTCAAAATAAGGAAAAAAAGCTGAGAATGTTTAGTACCAAATATAGTATATTCTGCAAGTGAAAATTATTCATACATCAATTACTGTATAATAGAAAGAATATAAATGGAATATAGACTAGTGACCTGCAGCAACAAAAATGCTATAGAATAAAACATTTCAAATATTTTCCCCAAAAAAGTAGCATGCCCACTGCTCAAGAACGTCAGGTTTTATTATTTTTTTGATTTTTCTTGTTCTTGAGTATCTAATGAAGCCACAGGCACATCTCACATAGCATAGTTTTCTCTGAATTTCTGCACACATTGGAAATGAGTAATATAGGCTACATATTTTAAATTCATTCACTTTTATGTAAATATAGACTGCTATAAAAATATCCACACACTTACTTTGTATATAAGTTTAGGTGAAACTTAGGTCCTGTGTCATGCCATGATTCAAGAAAAACTCCTGAAAAATATTTTAATCCATTACCACTATTATAGTATCTTCCATAGTCCAGGAGGCTTGAAAACTCAAATTTTTCTTTCAGAATTTCAGTAACAGGCTCTGATGTTAACAATTGGAAGCAGTGACTAGAAACCAAGACACTAAGAAGGTCTTCTTCAGAGACTGAAAAGTCATTAACAAACAGATTAAACATTCTAACTCATAATGCATAACTTAAATAAATACTGTTATTACAAAGTTTTAAAACTGTACAGATAAAAAAGACACATGAGAAAACGTAATATTTCTTTAAGATAAGAATTGATAAATATATGTTTGCAGTTGCAACTCATGATACCAATATACTCCATTTAAGAATAATTAATATGATTTAATAAAACTAATAATTAATTAGAATAATTAATAACCACAATATTTGGAATTAACAGTACGATTTCAAGAAGACGCTAAAACTTTCAGTATTTTTCTTTGTCATAATGATACTGACCATATGCAAAAGAGAAATAAATATTATATTATTGTCTGCAATAACATGCATTTCACAGGATGAGATGGCCTCTCAACTGAAGTGAATTTGAGTGATGAAGGGCAGGGGAAACAAAGAGTGTTCTCCCAATATTTTTGTAATTTTTACAATATTAATATCATTATAAATAAAAGTTTATATTAATAAAAAATGTATCTATTTGTTTATTTGAAAAATTATAACAAAAATAGTTGACAAAAATTTCAGTAAATTTTCTATTTACATCACTAGGGAGAGGATTTTTGTGTCCCAAAAAAATATGAAATAAGCTTTTAGAAATATTCACTTATGTCCTAAAAATTCTTAAATGTGCACTTTAATATGCAATAAAAATTAACAACATATGCTTTGATTGGGAAAAATATTGTGAAACATAATAGAATCTAACTTACTTTGCGGGAGAAATATTTGAAGTAAATTTTAGTGACGTTTTCACCTTAGTGAAGTACATTATATGTCTCTGTGAATTTATTGTGCTTGGTTTAAAAAATATATCAAGAAATATCCTATGACTGTACACATATTTTATCATCTATAGAAAAGGAGAAAAAAAGAAAGAAAGAAATCAATAACAATGCAAACTCTGGCAAGATCATTTTAATGAATACTCACAAATAAATAGTAAATTCCATGAAAAGATGAAACATCTTAGAGATAAGTCTATTTTAATGAAATATGCAAAGATGCACCTATAATTACATGAATATACGCCAACAGGAAAAATCGGCCAAATATGCACTAACATATTACTCTACATAGCATCCAATACTAATCGGGAGAGGTGGCTAAAGGAATTAACTGATGTCATTGCAGTGCCTCTTACCGGAAGGTCCTAGGTTCGAGTCCCGACTGTGGCAGGCGTTCGACACTAGCGTGTCAGCTAGATCGAATGCAGTCGCTGTCTGGAGGAGAATTCTAGCGGCCGGCTGGTCGCATCGGTAGTTTTCAGGTTTTTTTTCTATCAACACGAGACGAATGCCAGAGCAGTACAAACGGGCCATGGACCACGCGCGATCTTTCCTTCCTCTTCCTTGTGTTATTCTCATCCCTTACACACTTACACTAACATGCACTACACTACCACACTTGTTTGGAAACCGGCCAGGAGCTTAGAGCTTGCCCCGGCTGGAGTGGTGCCCCGCGAGTGGGAGATACCAGGTTGTGTTTTAATTGGTTGTTAGTGATTCCGGGTGCGTCAACTACCAAGGTCACACGTCCCGTAAGTGTCGTACATGTTTTCTCCTCGGGAGGTGGCAGAGCTTTAAGCTCCCGACTGGTCTACCGGATAGTGTGGTTGTGTAGTTAATGTGTGTCGTATGTAAGGGGTGAGGATAGGATAAAAGAGGAAGGAAAGATCGCGCGCAGTTCGTGGCTCATTTGTGAGTGTGCTGCGGCATTCACCTGGTGTTGGGCGTAGAAACCACGGAAAACTACCGATAAGAACAGCCGGTCTCTCTAACGCTTCTCCAGACAGCGATTCAATTCCACTTGGCTATTTAGTGTCGAAAATCCTGTCATCGGGGACGAGGGGGATTCCGAGAATCTTGTAACAACGTGCTGTGTCCACGGATACGATATTTGACTCCGTTTCAGTACCCTTTTTTCTAACGTATCCCATCTGTAAAAATGACCTCACGTTTAATTATTTCAGTTAGCAGAGCTTTCCTTGCCTTTTCTTCTCGGAAGAACGTCTTGTACGATACAATGGCGAATTCAGGGTGATTGCCTTACCCCCCAATTCTCGAGTTTGGATCGCATTCGGAATATGAGTCCATCGCTCACTGAAGACGCGCCGTCTGATGTTTAGCAGTGCGAAGGGGCGAGACAAACGCGAGTTTGCGATCCTAAAATATTTAATGTGTCACGCATACCTAAAGGACATCCAATTTACAAAAGAAAAACGAGGATCGCTACCGGAAGACTATAACTACTGGTAACTATTGGAATGATAAATATGAAAATGATTTAAACCTTAATTTTTGCCAAGAGAAGGATATATTTATTAAATTCAAGTAAAATATAGTACATAAGTCTGAAAATATTGTAACGTATTAGCCAGCGTGCCTCATGGCATCTATTTGGGGACGCTTGGGAAAGGATTAGCCTAGCCACAGGAAGTAGGGTTTTTCCGTAAAGGGAAGAACGCGGAAACGGGAGACACAAGGCTTTGGGAGTTTCCGGCTTATATAAGCTTTTCACTGTTATAACAAGCGAGGGGGTGGCGTGACGTAGTAGGTCACGTGGGCCTCGCCTATATAACTGAGTGTACAGAGCCAGTGGGTGGGTTCTAGAGACAGAGGGAGAACCTCGTGCGAGTGCACAAAACTTGGCGCCACGACGGTACATATGCGTACATATGGTACACAATCAAAACCATCTTCAATCGGGTTTGGATCGCTCCCGCGATCAGGGGATTGTAGGTCTATCAGAGCTAGGGTGTAAGTAGATTATTAAGTGTATATATTTGTTTTGTTTTCTTTGTTAATAAATATATTGTTATACGAAAGCTCTATGTCTGTGGTCGCTGTGAGTATCCATGACGTCACAATATTTATAAGTCAAATGAAATTTCATTGGTTGTAGTGATCCCAGGCGCTTCAACAGCAGGGTAATTAAAGTTTACTGCATTTTTATCGCGGGAGGTGGCGGCGATCTGTCCCCGTTGGATGGCGAGATCCGGCGCCGATCTACCGTCGGCTACCACGGATTTCCCCAAACCGGTATCGCCAACCAGCGCGGCACGGCCCCAGTCGGGACAAACTCTAAACTCGCGACCGGTCCCCGGCATGTGTGGTAGTGCGGTGCATGTAAGTGGATTCCCCATACTACGCAACCATCACTCTAAAATACCCTTTCCGTGGAGCCAACAATGGTCGCACAATACAGCTTGCACTGCAACTCCAGATTTCTATCTGCTGTATACGTGGATTTAAAAATAACAGAGTGACGCTGAAATCAGCTGTTACGATGCCAACCAAGCGGGACCTAGAACGCCATAATGACGTCATTGTGGTAACGTGTAAGCTTTCGATTAACGACACCGTAAGAGCAGACGACCTGCCAAATGCAGCTCTAAATAAATCGAAAGATAGAATTTATTACAATACAGGCAAGAGTTTAACGTTACTATCGATGTCGATCAATTTGCTGTTCCTTTGCTCTTTTAGCATAATGCGTTTATTTACAGTGCTCATTGCTCACTGAGCTTTGTCGATAAAAGGCCTGCCCGTTAAAATGTTGGTTTCTTCATGAAATCTTTGTCGCAGCATTTCGGATCAGTGTCTACATGGAATTGGAGAGATATTCTCTATTGACATGTAATTCGATTTTGTCTATCCAAAATCTCCTTATTTGATGTGACCACAGAAGTATTCCCCCAGGGGGCGGATTTTGATGATCTAAAACATCGCCAAAAATTATCAATAAAATGTTCTTAAAATATTTTTAAAGTGCCTTAAAACAAAACAAATTACGTAATTTTTTTTATCAAAACCACTTGAGATGAACTACTCAAGCTGTTGAGTATGTTACCGATATAATCGAGGCTTCTTCCTTTTGTTCCAGTGAACTCAGCTTGCAAACATTTGGTTTGGACTGTTCTTTAAAAAGAAAATTTCTGCCTTAATTTCTCGCGAAATCGGTAGAACTGACAATGGGGCAGATAGGTGTCACAGGAACCTTAGATTATATAGTACTCACAACGGATGATATAACAATATATGAGCAAAGAATTCAAAAAGAGTACTCAGAACATCTGTGGTGAACATTTGTTGTAACTCGTACATATTGTTTAAAGTAAGAACCATTAAAATTATATTAACATCGATTAAATCAGAAAAATGTATTACAAATTACGTAAAAATGAAGACAGTCGAAAACAGTGACAAATGCAAAAAATGACACAAAAACGAGTAATTTCCTTTTGCCATAACATGAAGTGAATTTCTATATTAACGGCATTGTTTTAAAGTGAAAAGAAAATAATGAAATTTCTTTAAAATCTACCCCCTAATAATAGCAATTGATTTTCAGACAACAGTAAAGATATGCTCTAATGGCTTTATACATCATGAATTTCACTTTCACGGTTATTTCTGATGACTATCATACTGTATACTGTTTAATTTTTTTATTGATGCTTTTCCTTGCGCACGATTCTATTTATTATACCCCTTTTACACACGAATTTTGTGTAATGCAATTTTCTTGATATTTAAATTTATTACATTTAATAATCACTTCTTAAATTCCTTTATCTTCTGCTACCTCACTGATGACCAGACACTTTGTTCAATTTATATTAATTTTTAATCCTCTTTTTGCTCTAAAAATTTCCCATCGAAATGACACAGTTAACAATTTGCTTTTGTAAAATTGAATTTTTTTGCACCCCTTCGTACAACATTATTGAAGACACACGTTTTTTCTTCAAATGAAATATGTTCTCCACAATTAGGTCTTTCATTAATGACACATAAGTTTTTTGAGAATATTACTGGTAGTATAATGAATACGTCCGTCCGTCTGTGAATAACCCAAGCGCCATCACTATTTGTAGCTTTGTTTCTAAAATGATTATTCCTCGGCCGCCTGACTTGCCCCGACATGAAACCCTGAGATTTTGGAAATAATTCTTCACATGTTTGGAGTTCTTCATATGCATCCCCTGCGACATTTTCATTTTTTTTCTCAAAAATGGCTTTATACCCTGAAGAGTCAAAAAAACTGATACAGCCATGCGTATGGAGATCTGAAACCAATCACAATACGGCGCTCCGGTCGGCAACGACTATATAAGGCAACCAGTCTGGCACAGTTGTTAGATCGGTTACTGCTGCTACAGTGGCAGGTTATCACGATTTAAGTGTTTGAACGTGGTGTTATAGTCGGCGCAAGTGAGATGGTGCATAGCATCGCCGAGGTTGCGATGAAATTTGGATTTTCCCGTACGGCCGTTTCACGAGTGTATAGTGAAAGTCGATAATCCGGTAAAACATCAAACCTTCGGCATCGCTGAGGCCGCAAAAAGATCGCGCAAGAACGGGACCGACGACTACTATGGGAGATCATTACACGTGACTGAAGCGCAACCCTTACGCTAATTGCTACAGATTTCAATTCTGGGCCAACAAGTGTCAGAGTGCGAACCATTCAAAGAGATGGGGTTGCGGAGCCGTATACCCTTGATGAATGCACGACACAAAGCTTCACGCCCCTCCAGGGCCCGTCAACACCGAAATTGAACTGTTGTTGACTGCAAACACGTTGCCTGGTCTAACGAGTCTCGTTTCACTTTGTTTCAAGCGAATGGACGGGTACGAGTACCTTATGAACCCATGCACCCTGCATGTCAACAGGGGATTGTTCAAGCTGGTGGAGGCTCTGTGAGAGTATGGGGCGTGTACAGTTGGTATGATATGGGCCCACTGATACGTCCAGATACGATTCCGAACAAAATCGCAGTTAGTTTCCGCAGCATTATAATAACTTTTTCTCTACTCCTTAGGGAGAAAGATTTTTTTCTCGAAAAGTCGACATCACGCACAACGTGGCAGTAATGCGGGTAGTATCGGGGGTAGTATGCAGCAGCCCAGGTCACGGAGCAGGGTGGTTTTGAATAGGCCAGTCTAGGGCAAGCAGACCAGGCCACAGCAGGCAAACGCCATGCCAGGGAGAGGATACACAATAGACAGAAATCATTCCTTTTCGTCTGAATCCTAATCCAATGTATCACAAGTTTTAAATATTAGTAGAAATTGGTAATCATATATTTAATGTGAATTATTTGATGTTTCTGATTCCATTACTACCATAACTCGTTCGAGTTTTCCAAATCAAGTGGTGTATTTTCGGGATTATAATGCAGATTACAACTGTGAGATAGGTGGTGCGTTTTTTTCAGCACTATTGTATGTAAATATCCAGACAAGTAAATGTATTTGGCTTTAAACTTCCCGTGCGATTAAACGGCACGTTTTCCATTAATTTTCTTAAAATTTCTTGTAGAAATATGGTGAAATTCACTCATATAGCAGGCACAAGTGATATTTCCATTCTGACCCACGAATTTTCACAATAAGCAAGAGTTTGACATTTTTAATACCCTCGTGCAACTTCATTATTAAAGATACAGATTTTTTCTTCAGATGAAATTTGTCCTTCACAACTAGTTCTTTAATTATTGTCATGCTCAGAGTGACCATGACATTAGTGCCGTGAAATATTACAAGCTTCCGAGCTAATTTTAGTTAAATATGAGCAATATTAAAAAAATATTAACATGATTTTGTTAAAAAGATTCCGAATTTGTTCTTTAAACTTTTTATACTGATAGTGATAAATGCACTCAATAACGTTCCCTTTTATTTTATTTTTTAATTTCCCATTATCTCAGTTAAACCAAATATTTCTGTCTACAAATGTTTTTACTCTCTTCAGAATATTTACCTCTATAGTGAAATGGTCAAGAACTGAAAAAGAGTGAAAGGTTGCCTAGAAAAAGGTTAAGAATTGTTTTTCTTCCGGTATGGACCAAGGATCTGGTTGGAAACTCACGTTCTTGACTTCCCAGACACCCTGATACATTATTAACTACAATAAAACTGTATTTTCGATCTACCCTATCTATATTTTCGAGCGAATCTATGGTCGAGAGATTAATGAAAAAGAAAGCCATTTGTTGAGTTGAAAATCTTAAATCTAGGAGAAAGAGCGAGAAAGGAAACTAGAAATGGAAATTTTCCATTACACAAAATTTGCTGCAATAATAACTTTTTATTAAAATAATTTTACGACAATAATACGTTTGTTTGGATTAATAAATTCGTCATTAAACACTAATCTTTCACTGACCTGTTGGAATATTTTGGAAAAGAGCCAAAGAGCTTCGGACTATATCTTCTACATCAATTTCTATATCAGGAACAGGTAACTGGCGTACTACAACATGTTAAAAACGTTAAAGACTTTCTCCTACAGACATTGATAATTTCTATTAGACAAAGGCATACATGTAAAGCACATACTTCGCCGTGAAGTTTCGTTTTCCATGCCATAAGTTATAACAGCACTCAAAACAATCTTTCTATCGTGCTGACAGGATGAAAGTTTCAATACACCTATTTAAGGAAAATACAAACATTAATCTATTTTTTTCTGGAAATGAAATATTATGAATATTAAAAAAAATCGAAATTTTATTTTACCAACAGCTGTAGTCAAAACATCCACTGGGAGAACCTCCGTACATTTCCATTGTTCCGCTAAGCTTCTGTATGAAACATCACTACTTGTTTCATCAGTGCATTCACTTACTGTGTAGAAATATGATTTGCAATCCAAAGATCGGCCATCCTTGAACATCAACAGCAGTTTCACATTGACCATTGGTCTAAAAAAGAAAAGGAAACATAATATATTTTTTTTACGTTCGGAAAGTCGGACAAAACAATACATTACAAGGTTTGCCTTTTATCTTAAAAACTTGTAAGGACTGGTACTGATACAATGCAATAAAAAAATCACAACATAAAAGAAATAGGAAAGACGGGAGATATTCCGTCATCACCGAATTCGTCTCTGCAACCTACTTCCGGAACAGTTACACCTTTCAGATTCCTCTGAAAGGTCAAAAACATACCACTAAATTCTTTGAGATTGAATGGCATTACTACCCCGATATTACCTTTTAGATAATCCATAATAAGGCATCAACTTCTAGTTTAGTACGACATTTTGCAACCTTTTTTATATTTAATAAAATACACATAACGTAATCATTTCACCGAACATTTAACCACACAATACATGAAAATAAATAATTAATTCCTAATCAATAATATTCGTTCGTATATATTTCGTTCAATAATATTCGTCACGTCCAACAGCAGCAATAATCTGTTTGTATAATATTAATTACCAGAATATATAATCATTTAGATAAATACAATGCATGTAAATCATTCCTAACCTAAATAACAACGCAAGAATTAAACTTTATACACGATAAAATAACACTTGGATCACTAATTAATTTTATCAATTATAATAAAAAAATATATATTCAAGGACAATATAAATTGATCGATAAAAAATACCTTGCGGTCCAATCAATCTTAGGTATCGGGTCATATCTGATACGGTATGAGAAGGTCTAAGAGCCTGAGCCACGCCTTTAATAAAATACATTATTATTAATAATAATATTTTTTACCAAGCTCTAAAACACACTTGAGATCACGGTTCCACTGTCATTCCACATAACTTTCTAAAACTTATAGGGAACTTTGTTATGTTATGAAGATCACTGACACGAGGGCTTACGCAAGCTATGTGACAGACATTGGTACCTGAGTGTCAATCAGCCCTTTGTGCTAACTAGCCAGTCTCCCCAAGAGTACACAGCTGAAATTTTCTTACGTAATGTCTCTAGGAACGTTGGCAATAGAACATTGTGTACTGTGTCTAAAGACATTTAGGCTCTTTGATAAAGACATTCTCGTGAGGTAGTTACTTTAGTCAGATATGTTCATTTAATCTACATTACTAATTTCGAATATATGCATAGATTGACGGAAAGGTAAGCAGATTTATGCCGACGAGAGGAGTTAGTGGTTTCGTTAGATACCCAGGAACTCAGTAAAAATACAAAAACAATGAAACACTTTCGGTTTTGTCGAAAAAATGTAAACATTTTAGTATGTTAATCCGCAATTTCCCTTAACTGGTGTTACGACTATATTTTCATACTCACTACGTCACTGCTGGTCATGCAACGAGAAGAAAGAAACTTCAGTATTCAGGCGTGCTGTTTAAGAATAACCAGAATACCATTTTTGGTACTTCATGACCCCATTTTCCAGGCCCTCGACAGCAGCAATTTTGATGCCGCAAGCCACGAGACATATTGTGAGAAATATTGTTTCACGCACTGATTTCAAGATCTAATAAAATGTCTATTGTGTCAGCACCACTAATTTTTACTTTCTCGCATTTAATTCGTAAGACGAGAAAGTTATGTAATAGTGCGCCGATAAACGGCGAATTTTACTCTTACTGACGGGTCATAGTAACGAAAAAGTGAATAAATCCTATTGCAATATATTATCAATTACTTCCTCTAAGACATGGTGTAGCCAGAATCCAGGTTTTGTTGGTCCTTGATACCAAAAAATCGATTGACGGCAAAACGTCTATCAGTGGTCAACGCTAGCGCCTAAACCGTTCAGCCGATTTTCTCCAAAATTATTGTAAATGTACACATTTCTCCAAATATAAATACAGCTTGCAACCATATGAAGGGTTTAACTTGTGGCCCTCGAGCCCTTGCAAGTTGAGCACGTCTGATCTAAAAAGTCATTTTCAGATGTATGTGGATTCTTAGCTAGCAAAAAAATCTCAAATATGGCGAACTGATTTGTGATTTGGCGAAAGCTCAAGCCTGTCGAAAGTTATATCAGGAGTTGAATATCTTTTAAATTCCCATTTGGACTTTTTTCCTGATAATTTGAGTGACGAGCGTGGAGAGAGTTTAGAACTGGAAATTGGCGAAATGGAACGACGATATCACGGCAAAGGGGACACTTCTACGATGAGAAACGTCTGCGCATGTTTTCAACACACAAGAGGCATCCTACTTTCGTTGTATACGTTTCATGAACACATTTTATGTACTATGTTATTCTTAAACTCCGAAAATTATTTCTGTTCTTTGAAAAAAGGAATGGTTGCGAAACATCGAAATACGATTCTACCTACCAGAATCTGCCATTTTTTCTTCTCTTAAAGATGTTGCTTCATCAATGGAACAAAATGAAGCACCCATTGGAATATTTTTAGATCTTTCGAAAACTTTTGACGTTATTGACAATATCATCTTGCTATCTATAGGGGCAATAGTTATGATTCAATTAACTACAGACCTATCACCCTGTTATTAGGATTTTCAAAAATCCTGAAAGGGCTTTTCAATGATAGACTAACAGTTTCTCAAAGCATTTATATCCTTACAAATGCACAACATGGCTTCAGGAGTAACAGATACACAGACACAGTCATTTTCTCCTTTTTAAATGACATACTTGTTGCCCGAAATCAGAAGGAAATTCCCACTAGCCTTTTCTTAGATTTGTCAAAAGTCTTTGACATTATTGACCATCACATACTTTTAAGAAAACTTGAAAAGCTAGGGACACAACTACAACACTCGTCAAAAGGATAACCTACATGTTCCCCACTCTGAAACTACACTTTATCAAAAACGTACCCTAATAGAGGGCTTTACACTTTACAACAAACTAGGCAATGATATTAAAGACAAACACAATTCATACATTTAAAAGGAAATTGAAAGCTTTCCTGCTTAACAACATGTTATACAGTGTAAACGAATATTCAAATCACAACAATATTTCCCTTAAAAATATAAATAAATAAGAATTTCTTATTACATTAGACTTTCTGTTTTATGTTAACCGTTTCGAGCTGAAGCAAAGAAAAAAGAACTGGCATATCCCATCCTCTGACGTAGAAGGAAAATGCCTGAAAAAAAATCTGTTTCTCTCTGGATTCGCTAAATGCATTAGGTGCTGCGGCAGGACTATGTGAACAAATTGAAAGAAGAAAAACACTGGTCAAACCCTGCCTCCTCCTCACAATTTCAAGGATTAAATGTAGAATGTACTAATATTGTTAAATCTTAAGTACTTGCTAACTGAATTAATATGTATTGTTTTAATATTTTTATAAGAAGTAACATTAAAATGACAATAACATCTTGAAATGTTAAATTATCTGCTACCAAAAGGAATTATCTACTGTATAATACCCTAATATCTCTGTAGCAAGTATTGTATAATAATCCAAAGACAAATGACCCCATCTAGATCAGGTTGTGTTCAGTTTCTCTGGTCCCTTGAGCAAATGCTGAGATGGCCCCTTGTTTCGCTCCTGAACAGTGATGTAACTTCGCTCTCTCCACCCAAGACATCATATTGAGTCGTCATACACGATTGTAATTGTATATGTGACTCAATAAATATTATTATCAAAATTACCTTATGGAATTCGTGGTATCGCCCTAGATTGGATAACTACGTACCTTAAATATCGATCTCAGAGTAGAAATACTGTACTGGCACTAAAAGACATTATTTACTTATCTTTCCAATTCTTTACCAATTGAATATGCGGTCCTGCAAGGCTCAATCTTAGGTAATATCCTCTTTTTGTTATACTTAAATGATATGCCGTCGTCTATTAAAAACGGAAGAACGGTAGTTTCCCGATGACACGAATGTTTTTTGCAAAAAAGAAACAATAGTACGATTTTAGAAGTTTCAAATTGGTTTTGTAATAAATTAATAGTTAATGAAGGAAAAACAATGTCAATGCATTTTTGCCTTTCAAATCAGCAATCGCATGCTCCATTGAAAATGAATAATATGCAATTAGATGATGTTCAGGTAACAAAATTTCTAGGTCTGTCAATTCAGTCAAACCTTAAATGGAATGTACATATAACAAAATTAATCACTTAAGTTCAATATGTTATGCATTCAGAATTCTATCAAATTCTGTCAGCTCTCATGCAGCTCGTTGCGTGTATTTTGCAAGTGTACATTCCCGCCTGAGATATGGTATAACTTTTTGGGGAAACTCATCTTGTAGTCAGATCTTTAGATTGCAAAAGAAAATGATTCGAATGATGAAAAAATGCCATCCGCGTGATCCCTGAAAGCCTCTCTTCATTGAGCTTGGAATCTTACCACTGCCTTGCCTATATATTTACGAATATGTAATATTTGTCAAGAGACAACGGTGGGAACATATTTTCATGCAATACTGATATTTATATTACAACACACGTTCATCAAGTCTCAGTACCAAAAGATCGCTATCAGAAATCCACATATAATACATATACGTTACTTTATAACGCATTGCCAGATGAAAATAAACAATTGAAATCGGTTCACAAATTTAAGTTTAAATTAAAATATTTTCTGCTGCATAACTGTTCTATACAATTAGAGATTATACCGATTATCAAAAAGAAAAATATTGTTTATATTAACAAAACATATCTATATTGAATAATTTACATTCGTATTGTATTTTTTTAAAAAGACTTTATATGTTTGTAACAAATAATGTACTTCAGCTTCCGGGTCAATGACCCCCATCTCGATCAGGTTTTTGTCCAGTTTCCCTGATCCATTGAGCAAATGCTGAGATGGCCTCTGGTTTTGCTTCTGGACATAAATGTAGCTTCATTGAGCCCACGTTTTGTTGAACTCTCCTTTTGCTTGTAATTGTAGGAGTACAGGTAAGGGCGAGTTACTATTTTGTTAGCAATACAGAAAAAACATACTTGCAATTCGTTTAACGATGCAAATAAATTTTCTATAACTCAGGAACGAAAATGTCTAGTTTTTCAAATATTGCTAATCTCGCGCTTTTTAAAAATTTATTTTAAACTTTTACTTATCTTTCAACATTTATTGTTAAAATGACGGGAAGGGATTCTGGAACTCAAGAAAACGTGCTCAGATGATCTTCTCCCCCACACGTCACCTACATTTTTAACTGTTTTTTTTTTGACTAAATAAATAGTAATAAGTGTGGCCGAACTATTTTTGTAGTTTGCGCACCGTAGGCGCCACCTGTGGACCTCCATGGGCACCTAAACCATCAGTTTCTGGTGGGCCCCT